TCACCCTACAAATCAATGAACTCAGTCCACAAAGCAAGATCAGGGTTCAGTGCAGGTCAGTCAAGTTCCTTCACACCACACATGCTCATCCATGTCCTTGTGGACCTGGCTTTGTGCACTGATTTGGTGGTGTGAGCCAGTATTTTGGACAAAGTGTATATAAACGCAGACGTGTGGGGCTTGATATTATATTCATTACAATTCAGTTTATTTGTATGGTGCCAACTTCACATTGTAGGTTTAAGACCCTACAAAATATAACTAAGAAAACCCAACACTTGACCATATGTTGTCTGTCATGATATGGATATGACATAATATTGTTATTGTTTGTACAATCATCTGAGAAAATAATGGATTACATGGTTTAGTAAAAACAAATGCTTCCTCAATGGAAAAATGTTTTCAGTTCTTTTCAGTTTTTGATTTTTGAAATGTGTATTTCAGCAGGGAAAAATCAGAACAGAAATAAAAAGTGGTGTGAAGCACATGAATTATATTTTGTGTGTGTGTATATCTATCTCGGTCAATCGATCAATAGTGGGTATAGATATGTTTTCATATAAAAATATATATAAATAAATGGCACATTTTTTTTAATACAATAGAATTTTTTTGGAACCCTCCAGTCTCTTACAGTATGTTACTGTTTCTTTAAATTACGGTAAATTACGACCTGTTAAACAGTAAATGACCGCCTGTAGGAACACGGTATCCTCTAGCAGAGATGAATATTTTTGGTACTGATGATGCATGATGGCGTCTGGGTCCAGACTCGGACCCCGGTCCGCCTGTTAGTGACCCCTGATCTAACTGCTAGCTGCTCTGCTAGCAGAGAAAAGAAATTATGGTGCTGGCACGGCTGGCAGCCTTAACCCAATTTCCCTCGGGATGAATAAAGTATGATCAATCAATCAATCAATCAAATTATGTGATGCTGCTGGGAGCTAAAGCAGCATTTAGCTATTCAGCTGATTATTTTTAATCCTAAATATATGCTCTTGTCACCTCTGTTTACCTTTTACAAAAAGAACATTTAGCCAACAGTTTATTAACTTTGTAAATTATGAACAGGCATCACCTATACTGTCCTTTGGTGCTGCACCAGCAGGAACACCAGTTAATCTGAAATCTTCTATTCTCTCTAAAACAAAGTGACAGCAGACTCAAAGACAGAAACCTTATTTAAACACCAAATATTCACCGGCGTCACTTCCAGTTACTCTGACAGCAGTAACCCCGGAACAGCGGTGGCCGAGCCCTAGCTGTGTCCCAATTCAGTAACCTCATGCTTCGTAGTGCGCATTTGTAGACCGAATACGTCACAGCAGTGCAACGAAGGGTGTCCCAATTCGAAGTGTACTCCAAATTTGTTGACAAATGCGCAGTTCATTTCCCCAAATTTGAAGGGTGGGTCCGGTGTAGACTTTGTGGCCACATATATCCCAGGATTCCTAGACTCACGGAGGGTGTGAAATATATATATTTTTTTTAAATGGCAGATGTCCGAAGCGGGGTGGCCGAAGAGTAAACTTTCAAAAGTAAGCACTGAATATTAAGTCTCTTCTTTATGTGAGAATGTTTAATAATGAAGAACATTAAAACTAAAAAGGATGAACATGTATTTATAAGTTACACTTGTGTTTGAATCCTGCAGCTTATCACACATTTGATTTACATGTGTGACAACTGCAAGTGTCCAGAGTGAGGACAGACTGAGGGACCCACTGCTGCACATCATCTGTGAGGCTTTGCACCCCTGATGATCCACCAGGACAAACTCAGCAGTGTGTGAGGAAGAGGAGGAGGAAGAGCCAGCAGCAGCTGACAGATGGAAAGAATAGACAGACTGTTCCCTGTTTGTGAAGGACTGCT